GGGAGGCGGAGGTTGCAGTGGGCCAAGATTGTGCCATTGCACTCCAGCCTGGGTGACAGAGCAAGACTCCTTCTCAAATAAATAAATAAATAGTAAAAAATAAAAAAAAAACAGCTGTAACTGAACTATTTAAAGAAGTTGCATGTGTGGCTTATCATCAGTGGTGACTGTTAAAAAGTTGGAACCCTTTTTAAAATTGTACCTCTTTTCTGTTTGACATTCTTAGGCTTTTTCAAGGATGGAACAATACAAAGTTTTCTATAGTGCTGCCAAGAACGGGTCTTTGAGTGCTGGTGATTTATTTCATCTTCAGCGTGCTAAGGCCATCCTCTTCTGAAGGAAGAAATGAGGGGTAATGTAACATCTGAACCCCTCATCCAAAAAGATGGGAAAATATCACTTCTCCTGGCTAAAGAACTAAAAAAGTTGGTATTTTCAAAAGAAGAAACACCTCAATTCAAGTAAACTCAAGGACAACTAAGATTGTACTTCATAGTAAAGGATGAGACCTTGTCAGGGTAACAACATACTCTTACACTATTCTGTCCTGTTTAATGTAAAAGGAGTTATAAAAACCACTCCAAAGTGAAGACTCCTGCCCACACACAGATATTTGCTTAGTATGTGGGCTGATAGCTGTGATCTATGTGAGACTTTTAAAACAATAGCTTAACTTTTTAGATTTTAAAGATAACTTTTCCGTTTATGTTTTCTCTTTTCCCCAATATTGCTGCATTTGGAATCAGTGCAGTATCACTGTTAAAACATGGGAGTCTAACAACTCCTAAAGCCACTAAGAGCAGACCCAGAATTGTCAGGTATGGAAGGGCTCTTCCTTCCTACTTTTACCAGTAACTACTAGTTACTGGTGATTATCAAGCAAAAGCTGCCAGATAACATTTGCCATTCACATCCTTTGTAAGCCCTTCTTATTAGCATTTTAGCATGTTTGGGGTCATAAAAAGAGAAAATATTGGTTATTGATTATCTACTTTTATGAAGGTCTGTGGTGTATTTCTTGTGAACTATAATGGTTCTCATTTGCTGATAAATTTCCTTATTGTCAAGTAAATGTATTCAAAGATGATTTCATAGTGCCAAGCAACATGGTGATCCAGTTGTTATGTAAAAATAATAAAATATGAGGTGTCCTGAAAGTTTTGGGGCAGTTTTTAGCTTTAATATAGTGTGCCTGGGCCCTCCAGAGGACTGCAGCATATATGTACATGCTGTGAATCTTTACAAAATATCATTTGGAAGTGTAATTGTATTTCTTCTTTTTATTTTTAATAGATGGTGTCTCACTATATTGCCCAAGCTACAGTGCAATCAGAGACACAATCATAGCGCACCACAGCCTGAAAACCCTGGCCTCAAGCAATCTTCCCATGTCAGTCTACCAAGTAGCTGGGACCATAGGTGTGTACCACCGCCTCTAGGTTTATTTTGCAGAATTTGAATCTTAAGCTTTTAACTTTTTGTTTCAGTCAATATCTGCTATCTTCAAGAAGGGCTGAAATGAAAAATCAAAAGCTTAATATTCAGGAGCTAGGCATGCTTGTAGTCCCAGCTACTCACAAGTCTTAAATGGGAGAATCACTTGAGGCTCAGCCTTGGAGGCTGCAGTGCGCTGTGATTGTGCCTGTAAGTAGCCATTGCACTCCAGCCTTGACAACATAATGAGACCCTGTCACTTTAAAAAATGGCAAAACTAAATAAACATAAAAGAAATACAAGTTTTTCAATGATGTTTTGTAAATGTTTGTAGCATTGTTACTTCTACAAGTATCAAAGCTTAAAATTACACTAAGAATTTTGGAATTCTTGTGTTTTACTTTTCTCTTGTACAGTAGCTCTTTGCAGGGCTTTTATCTACATTGATCACCTCAAATTATTTTCCCTAGATATGATAAAGAGGAGGATATGTGTTAATTCACATGTAACTAATTAGAAGGAATTGGACCCTAACAGCAGTAGGTGATGTAATACATTTTATTATACCACGTGTTAACCTGGGTGCAGGTATCATATTTCATGTCCTGCTATTTAAAAAGAACGTCCATAAGCCTTAGGAACCCCACCTCCTGAAAAAGTATCATTTATGGAATGCAGACCTTAGAGATTGAAGTATTGATTGCAGTTTTATTTTCAAAAGATAAATGCTACAATTGAGGTGGTTTTCATTTCTCATGTTTATATTAAAAGAAAACCTAGTAAACTATTTAATTAAAATGTGGCAAGTGTGTTTATAACACTTTTATTCACATAGTGTTCTCTCTGCCTAACTTAAATGGTTTAAATCAGTCTTGATATGTCTTAAAGCATTTTTGTAAGTTGCCTTGACCATACACAAGTTGAAGATGTAATATTTGTTTTCTCTTTTTTTTTTTTTTTCTTTTTTTTTGAGACAGAGCCTAGGTCTGTTGCCCAGGCTGGAGTGCAGTGGCATGATCTCGGCTCACTGCAACCTCTGCCTGCTGGGTTTAAGCAATTCTCCTGCCTCAGCCTCCTGAGTGGCTGGGACTACAGGTGCATGCCGCCACACCCGGCTGATTTTTTGTGTTTTAGTAGAGACCGGGTTTCACTGTGTTGCCCAGGCTAGTCTCAAACTCCTGACCTCAGGCAGTCCACCCGCCAGGGCCTCCCAAAGTTCTAGGATTACAGGCGTGAGCCACCATGCCCGGCCTTCAATTTTAAGATAATTTATTACACTTAAAATAACACTTTGGCCACAATACTTAGTGGCATAATGCATTAGATGGCATCTTTGAATAGTTGATTATTGTGTCTGAGAGGAAAAACACATTAGAATATGAAATTAGGTAAATACACCAAAGAGAAAGGATTTCCAGGAATAGTGTAGAATTAGAATGAGGGTGTTTGAAGTTTTCAGTTACACAGAAAAAAAAAAATGGAAGTACAGAAAGTAGAATTAAAGTTGCTGTGCAGAGGGTGACTTAAACCACATAATTTGACTTTAGCATACTGTTTTCAAGCTTACATTTTAGTTAAAAATAAATGACTGGTTTTTTGGGTTTTTTTAGAATTAAAATTCTAGCCACACAGCTTCAGTGATTCTCACTAAATCCTGATAATATTGGTATATTTTTATTCATTTTAATTATTTAGTACCTAAGGTAAAATCTTCAACTCATCACCATATCTTGATAAATTGCAAACTAGAATCAATGATCTGTATTAAACTTAGAAGAAAAAGTATATGATGAATCCTTGTTTATAAGATGGTTTGCACCTTATAATATGCCATTAACTAAGTAGAAGTACTGACATCTATAAGTGGTCAAAGATTTAAAAATCAGTTTGGCAGAGGGACACTGGACATAAATTCATGACTTCAAGAGTAAGTCAGGGTTGCGCGCAGTGGCTCAGGCCTGTGATCCCAGCAGTTTGGGAGGCTGAGGTGGGCAGATCACTTGAACCCAGCAGTTCAAGACCAGCCTGGCCAACATGGCAAAACCCCTTCTCTACTAAAAATACAAAAATTAGCCAAGCATGGTGGCAACTGCTTATGGTCCTAGCTCCTCGGGAGACAGAAGCATGAGAATTGCTTGAGCCTGGGAGGCAGAGGTTGCAGTGAGCCATGATCATGCTTGCACTCCAGCCTGGGCGACTTTGTCTCAAAAAAAAAAAAAAAAGAATAAATCAATAGAATAAGGAACACTAACATTATTCTCTCCTTTGGCTTGAATTCTAGAAGGGAATATAGTCATTTAGATAAATGAAAAATTGGGTCAGCTTAGAATAAGAATATAAATGTCACTGAGTGGGCAGGTTCTCCAACAAATGTCATGGGGCATGGAAACTAAGTTGCTAGTAGGTGGTAATTATGGCAGTTTTCTTAGAGTTTGATACCTGGGAAAGATTAGTTCTTTAACATATGACTATGAAAAGGATTATCTGAGTACCAAAGCTCTAATTTACTTTCACTCTTTGGGTTATTTTAACATTCGTAATACAGACATGAGTGAAATTTTACTCTGGTAGAGCGTGAACTAACACTTCACATCTTCATTACAAGGAAAAGACAAAGATCTGAAATATGTATTTGTAGCACAAAAGCAGTTGCCTATTGGCAGTTTTATATAGTTCATTCTGAGATGAACTATCTAATCTTAGGGCTCAGTGTTTCTAGAGAAATTTTATTCTGGTCTTTTATTCACATTTTCTTTTTATGTAACCTAGATGCCCATACATTACTGAAATCAAACAACACTAAATCCTGATTTTACTACAACTCAAGGTTCAGTTTTTTGATGTAGTTTTCCCACATTTCCAAATACACTATTCCTTGGTTTTAAAAAAACATGCCAAAGCCAATCTTAACCAAAAACCAAATTACTCTTGATTCTGTATTCAGGTTATGCAGTGTTTCCAGAAACTAATTTTGCTGCAGTGTGCTGGTTAGCTAGAATCTTTCATCACCCCAGTCCTTTCCCTAACCACATTTAAGATTTCTGTGGCTTCATTTTTTCCTCACACAGCATCCTTGAATATGGAACTATATCTTTGACAGCTGGCAGAGAAATTTCCCAGGTAAGTGCTAGTTTCTATGCAAATTTGTAGAGAACACCCAGAATCTATCAAGTTAAGGATTAGATTACCTTAAGTCTAACTGCCACTTATTTACCCATTTGGGCCCAACATTGTGCCAGCAAGCAATGCAAAAGATCTAGGAGCCCTTCACTGAAGCCTGCCCCCTACAACACAGGTTTCTAAGGCAATTTCTACGGAACTCCTTTTTTTTTTTTTTTTTTTTTGAGATGGAGTCTAGCTCTGTTGCCAAGGCTGGAGTGCAGTGGCGCAATCTCAGCTCACTGCAACCTCCACCTCCCAGGTTCAAGCGCTTCTCCTGCCTCAGCTTCCGGAGTAGCTGGGATTACAGGTGCCTGCCGCCATGCCCAGCTAATTTTTGTATTTTTGGTAGAGACAGAGTTTCACCATATTGGCCAGGCTGGTCTTGAACTCCTGACCTTGTGATCCGTCCACCTCGGCCTCCCAAAGTGCTGGAATTACAGGTATGAGCCACTGCACCTTGTGACTATTGAACTCTTTTAAATACATTTGGCAAGTGACAGAACATGTACGTAATGTGAAATTTAAGGAATATCAGCTTGTGGTTTAGGATTTCTAGGGTACAGAAAGAACAACTAACTGGGAAAGAAAAATGGTATAGATATTATAAGAATCTTGAGTCCAGTGAAAAATGGTTAACATTCTTTAAAAAGGAACAGGTTAGATGACTCTTATAATTGGTGTAAGGAAGCTGAGCAATTGGACTGTGATTAGGAAAACTCAGTGATAGTCCCAGAACCTAAGGTCTTTAATAAAATATGAGTGGTATCTCCTTCAAAAGACCTCCATGGATTCCCAAAATAAGCTGCTTGCTTCTTTAAAAAAAATATATTGCTTCATTTCACCGTCTCAATTCTACAAAACTTTACCTGTCACCTCAAGCTGGTGACTCCTATGTCTCTTCAGTGTGAAAACCAACTCACAAGCAGAGCTTCAAGTGTGTTATCCACCTCTTCTTCCAGCCCGTTTCACCCAAGACCCTTAGAACCCTCCTCAAACAAAATCGATTATCCCAGCCTCACCCTTGCCTTTTCTGCTACTTTCCATGTGGCAGTGCTTGATGTCTGTCATCATGACCCAGTGCCAAAGCGTTAGCACCAGGTTCTGGAACATGCAGGTTGTATGTAGCTTGCAAGCTAACTGACCCCTTGTGATTCCCTTTATGTGAGCCCTCTGTGTGCGTTCTCTGAAACACCTGATTTGCAACCAATTTGCTGCACTTGCTGATTCTGACCTACTCACAACCTTAATCATATATTCTCAATCTAGCCTGAGGATGAGGTTGTACCCCTTCCTTCCAAAACCTGTTTTCTTTGGCATTAATGCCTTGTTCTGAAGGTAACCCCCTCTCATCTAATGGAGAGGATTCCATCTCTACCTCTAAAATCAGCCTTCTATAGTCATCTCCTCCACCAATTCTCCTCTTCAAAATTGTATTTCACCTCCCCAAACTGGGGATGCAGCAATTTTGGTTCATTCCTCTAAAGGTCCCAGTGTTTTTCAAGACGTGATCCCCACCCACCTCCCTCTCATCAGCTGAAAGAGCTTGTGAAAAATGCAGCTTCTCTAAATGCAGCATGGTATCCTCGATTTGATCCTGTGACAGATAAAGAACATGAGTGGAAAACCTGATGAAGTCTGGAGTTAGTAGTAATGTGCCAACATTGATTTTTTAGTTTTAACAAATGTACCATGTCAATACGAGATGTTCACATTAGTGGGGAACTGGTAAGGGCGTACAGAAACTGAGTTATTTTGGTGACTTTTTAAAGTTTCTTTTTATAAAATAGCCTTTTGGGCCCCAGAACTAATGAATCTTAATTCCTGGGACTGAGGCCTGGGAATCTAAAGTTGTAACACATATCCTAAATGATTCTTAGATTCCAATTGAAATCCTTGTCTTGTCAATTTCCTTTTATTTCTTATCTGAACAGTTGCCTCTCCCTTGTTTCACTTATCTTAACCTGCGTTAATCTTTGAACTCTTCTGAATCCTAGGATTTAAGTACTGTTATCTGTTTTTCCCAGATGAGAAAACTGAATACTAAGAGGTGGCGTGTCCAGGATCATAGAGCTCATAAAAGGTGAAGCTGGGACTTATATTCCCAATCAGCCTGGCTCCCAAGTCTATGCTTACAGCCGCTCTGCATCAACCCTATTTCTTCTATTCATGATGAGCTCAAGAACTCTGTAACTAAATCAACAAAAAACACCATTCTCACCAATATTATCCTGGGCCCACCTATTTCTCCACCTTTTTAAGTCCAGCAGTCCCTCTTGCTTCATTCGGCATGTGGACTTTGCCCTTTCCCTTCTTTTTTTTTGTTTGTATTTGTTTTTGTTTTGAGACGGAATCTCGCTCTGTCACCCAGGCTGGAGTGAAGTGGCGTGATCTCTGGTCACTGCAAGCTCCGCCTCCTGGGTTCACGCCATTCTCCCGCCTCAGCCTCCTAAGTAGCTGGGACTACAGGCGCCCGCCACCACGCCCGGCTAATTTGTTTTGTATTTTTAGTAGAGACCGGATTTCACTGTATTAGCCAGGATGGTCTCGATCTCCTGACCTCGTGATCTGCCCGCCTCGGCCTCCCAAAGTGCTGGGATTACAGGCGTGAGTCACCGCGCCCGGCCCCCTTCTTTTCCACTGGGGGAAAATGAGCAATGGGAAAGCATGGGGAAGATGTGCTGATGAGAGCCCTGCACGCAGAAGGTGGAAGGTGCAGTTGCCCTTCTCTCAGGACTCAGCTCAACAACTATATTTTCTAGTCTGCCTCTCCCAGCTGCTTTAACTTAGATACTAATGTAATGAAGTTCACAGCCCCTGCCTTGACATGAAATTACATGCTCTCATATATTACTAATTCACTTCTCACTAGATTTATGTGGTCTCCCTGAAACACTTTAAGCTCCTAATTACAGAGTCATGTCTCCCACATACTTGTCTCAGAGTATGACGGAGAATGCTGACATACCAGGCCTTAAAGTGAGGTAGTGTTGGTAGATTGGTGGCCAATCCTTATTTTGCCAAAGCAGCAGTCGGCAGAAGGTGATGTGAAAATAGCACCTCAGGCTCAGTAAGCATCTGGTTAGATTACCAGGGAGAAGCCAACCCTCAGTTTGTACCTGGGCTTCCTGATGTGGACTTACAGCTCAGCAGCAAATTGTGGACCCAGCAGCTGAATAGAAAAGTTTTGAGAGTTTCTGTCTTCCAACCAGATGCACAAAAAAGCATCGTGTCTATTCAGATTGTTTCAGCATAAATGGAGCATTTATAAAATGGAAGGGAATCTCGGGCAATGACTGTTTTTCCACGTATCTCAATTTCTTCAAGTGGATCATGAAACAATAACAGGATTGCTGGGAGAAACCTAGGAAGTATATTCAATTAAAGCATATTTTAAATAGTTCTGCTCCTGTGATTGGAATTTGCTTGAGTAATACAATTTTTGCTGCTTATATTTTAAGTACATCTGAAAAATCTGATTCTAAAATTAAAATCCACATCTCTCGTCACATATCCTCAGGAAGCAGTGTATCTGCATGCAAACATGAAGAGAAAGAGACTTCTATGGCATCTCTTTATTTTCTTTGCTATCGCTTTAATACATTTTAAAATTAATGTACATTAATTGGGAACAAATAAACAAAAGCACATTTCTTTTTGTCATAAATAACTAATCTCCATATTTAACAAAAATCTTAAATCATTATTTTACCTTCCTACAAATACAATACATGCAAAAATTTTTTTGCAAATAATAAAGTTAACAGAAATATATGGGACTAACATAACATACAGCTGCCATTCTACTGACTCTCAGGAACAAAATAAAAACAAGACTTACCAAGATGCTCTGGGTTTTCTTTTGTTAGTGTTAAAACTTCAGATTTATAATCTCATCTATATTATATAGATTTTAGCCACGATAATGTCCACCTGTGGTACATTGTCAAAAACAATGGGACTTCATGTTGGTTCAAACTGTATGTATAGTATGTACATTTTGTGAGTGTGTATCTACAGAATATATATAATGTAGATGAGAGATTTAGTGACTTTTGATATGAGTTTGTTTCAGGTAGATTACTGAGGCCAAGTGAGGTACATACTAATTCAGTAGTTTAAATGCAGGCATTCAGTACTCTTTATGATGTCCAGATATGTATAGTACCTGTCCCATGCAGTGTACGCACTGTCATGTTAAATCCAGAACTTACACATCAGAACCAGTGATATTTTATTTGTAGACAATCAACTTGAATCTTTAAATTATTACTGGCAGGTGATTATAAATCTGCTTTACCCTTTATCTGAAAAGCTAAATCCTTGTGGCATTAAGATTTTCTTTCTACAATTCCAGTTTCTATTTCTTGGAGACACATTGCTGATCAGCCAATTGAATGGTGATATTTAGGGAAAAGACAGAAATAATTCCTACCATCTGGATTTTTTCAGAATTGGGAAAGGAGAAAAACTATTCCCAAAGACAATGAAAATCCATTCTAGCAAGATGGTGCAATGACCTGCAAAGAAAAATGCACTCCAGGCACACCCGGGGGCACAGTGCAGAAGTTCTTCAGAGGGTGGTCACTGAGTACTTCAATGAGTAGAATAGGGGTGGGAGGATCCATATGATAGGATATCAGACTTGACACTAGAGTCAGGTGTATTAACATTCCAGCCAGTACTGCCACACCCTGAGTGTGTCATCTTGAAAAGATTTGTTTTCTTATTTCAACTTGCATTTTTATTAAGTATACGATGCATTTTATTGACAGAGCTTGAAAGATAGGAAAATATTCTCAAAAAAAACACAAGAATGTGACTATCAGAAAAATCTAATGATATATTTAATTTGTTAAAAATTCTAATTTTTATTTGTTATTCTCCTGAGAATGTGTAGTAAGTATCTGAGGTTTGTACCTTCCGGGGGTGGTTTCAAGCAGAATCTCAGGGCTTAGTTTTAGGGATATTACTGGGTAAGAAGGAAAAATTCTTTTCCTTTACCTGCAGAGGAATTAATACAGTTCCACAAGAAATTGTGATAGATCAATTGGTGATTAAAAAAAAAAAATCAGTTTCTTTTTTCTGTAGGGCAGAGTATTTGTGATAGTGGATAAATCTATTCTGTAGGTGGGTGCGGTGGCTCAAGCCTGTAATCCCAGCAATTTGGGAGGCTGAGGTGGGTGGATCACCTGAGGTTAAGAGTTCAAGATCCGCCTGACCAACATGGAGAAACCCCATCTCTACTAAAAATGCAATATTAGCCGGGGGTGATGGCACACATCTGTAATCCCAGCTACTCAGGAGGGTGAGGCAGGAGAATAGCTTGAACCCAGGAGGCGGAGGGTGTGCTGAGCCAAGATCACGCCATTGCACTCCAGCCTTGCAACAAGAGTGAAACTCCATCTCAAAAAAAAAACAAACAAAAACCAAATGAATAACCTTGACTGAAAATCAGAGACCTGAGCCCGCTGACTGCAGGCTAAGGCCAATCTTGACCTGTCAAAGGAGTTCATGAATAGTATAGTCATTTCTTCTTGGGGAGCTTTCACTACAGCTGTCCCAGCCTGCTCAGAGCAGCCATTGAAGGAGCTTTATATTGAGTGAAGCTACAGAGCCTGGGAAAGCTGGGAATGCACAGGCAGACATGGTGAGAGTTGAGATGGGAGGCGGGTTGTGATGTCCTCTGTGAGGGTGTAATTGTTATTCTCCTGAGGCTGTTTCTCGATACTGTCAAATAAATTCAGATGTAGGTAAGAAGTGACTTTATTCTAAAGGAGTATTGCAATGGGGAAAGCATCAAGCATCAAATCTACAAGCATCTCAAAAGGGGCAGAAAAAGGCTGTGTTTCATATGGAGGAGCAAACAAGATTAGAAGGAAGGTGGTAGGAAGAGAGGAGAATGGAGAATGGCAAAATCAGATTCAAGGGTAGAGAATGTTTTGCCCTAAAGTCAGCCTTTTCTTAGGAGGGGCATAAAGGTGGGGTATGTGTTAGCTCAGACTGAAGGTGGAGCAGAGTCCAGGAGCCTGAGGAAAGGAGAGAAACTTAAAGTTTGTTTAACAAGTATTTTGTTCTGAACACCGAAGATAAAATTATTTGTTTATGAGAGAAAAATGAGAATTTAGAGTTTGTGCATCTGTGATATCTAAAAGAGGAAGCATCATCTAAAGTCATAAAAAAAGGGTATTTATTTGCAGTAAGCTGTTCCTGTAAAACACAAAGGATGGAGAGTTCTTAATCGTGGCCGTTTACCAATATTTACTACCCACCACATCTTTCCCTTTCACAAAGTAAAGTGATGTCCTATCATTTTTTTTTCCTGTACAGTTTTTTCCATTTGGCTTTTCTGAGTTGTATCCTATATAATAACCTGGTAAACACAGGTAAAATTTCTCTGCTAAGTTCTGTGAGTAGTTTTATCAGATTATTAAACTTGAGCCAAGGGGGTTATGGAAGCTTATGATTTATGGACAGTAGCTCAGAAGTATAGATGGAATCGCTGGAACCCAGGAAGCAAAGGTTGCAGTGAGCCAAGATCGCGCTATTGCACTCCAGGGTGACAGAGTGAGACTCTGTCTCAAAAATAAATAAATATATTAAATAAAACATTTTACATATTTTAAAATCTTGTTTTAATCAATTATTTGTAATTTTGTTAATATCAAAGACCCACCTCTAGAAAAAGTTTTGTAATTTTCTTCTTAATCATGCCCAACTAAATTATACAACCCTGTTTTCTAAAAAAAAAAAGTTCCTATTAACTAATCTGATTACAGTTTACATAGTTGATTCAAAATATGCTTAGACTTTGTGTTTCACCTAAATATTTCTCTTTCTTGGACAACCCAGTCATTTTATTTTAGGACAAAAAATTTACCATACAAAATTCCTTCTTACATAAAATTGCTTTTTTTACCTTCTTTATCAAAAATACCTGTTTATATCTTAAACTTTCTTTACATCTCTTATTTCTTGGTTCCTTTTACCTCATTTTATACATAATTTTATAGAAGCTTTGAATTAGACAAAAATATTTACCTTTTAATAACATTTAAAAATGTTTTCCTATATTTTTTAAGTTGGAAATTACTCAGCTACTTAATATCTATTAATAAGCTTAGATTCCCAATCATATGACAAGTCTGTTTACAAGTGTTTATTCCATTACATTTACAAAATTATTTAATATTTTACCTAGATTATTTATGAAAACTGTGATAGTCATTATTTAAGGTAAATTCCCTGTTAACTATTTTTATAGCTGTGAATTTCAGGTGTTTATTTAAGTAATTTTCTTAAGGCTAAATATAAGAGTATTTTTACTAATAACTCAGAATTTAGCTGTTTTCATTAAACCAACATATTCCATGTCTTATCAAAAATTACACAAGCAAAGATCATTCTGTCTTGGGCTGGGTTTTATAGTTTTATAACCCTTATGACAAATCTTATAGTATTCTGCAGGAATAAGCATGAAATCACTTGATCAACACATACAAACAGACCGGGCACAGTGACTCACAGCTGTAATCCCAGCACTTTGGGAGGCCAAGGCGGGCAGATCACCTGAGGTCGGGAGTTCGAGACCAGACTGACCAACAAGGAGAAACCCCGTCTCTGCTAAAAATACAAAATTAGCTGGGCGTGGTGGCACATGCCTGTAATCCCAGCTACTTGGGAGGCTGAGGCAGGAGAATCACTTGAACTCGGGAAGCGGAGGTTGTGGTGAGCTGAGATTGCACCATTGCACTCCAGTCTGGGCAACAAGAGTGAAACTCCATCTTAAAAAAATGTTAATAATTCTTACATTTCTAATATTATTTTGTCAATAATTTGAAAGCCACCTTATTTATAAAAGATTTTACTTAAGTCACATGAACTTGAAAAAGCATTTGACTAGTCTTTTTTATGATATAATGGTTGATTTATGTACTTTTATTTTTCTTTAAACAAATTGATTAGAGCTATCTATTTATAGTAGGGAAACATTGTGTACACAACACATAAATACATAAACCTATTAGCTACGCTGACAGAAGTATGTCTTATAGATTCATAAGACCTTTTTTTTTTCCTATTTGAGACTTTTAAATTTTTTTCTCTTTTTATTTTTGTTTTTCATTTAAATAGATTTTCGGTGAACAGGTGGTATTTCGTTACATGGATATGTTCTTTAGTGGTGATTTCTGAGATTTTGGTGCACCCATCACCTGAGCAGTGTGCACTACCCAATATGTAGTCTTTTATCCCTCACCCACCTCCTACCCTTTCCCCCAAGTCCCCAAAGTCTATTGTATCATTCTTATGCCTTTGCATCCTCATAGCTTAGCTCCCACTTATGAATGAGAGCACATGATGTTTGGTTTTCTATTCCTCAGTTACTTCACTTAGGATAATGGTCTCCAGTTTCATCCATGTTGCTATGAATGCCATTATTTTTTTCTTTTTTATGGGTGAGTAGTATCCTTGGCATAAATGCAGTCTAGGGAACTCCAAGGCTACTGAGAGTAAGTGGGATAGAGACATGCATGAGAGTGGATAATTCTTATTCTCTAGGCCCTCCCTGCTTCATGAGTGTAAGCTGCTTTGGCACTTATGAGTGGCACCTGCCAAGGTTGCAAGGACTCAGGGATGCAAGGACGGAAGAGGGAAAGAGGACATTCTTCCTTCTCTCCCTCATGTACCCTGGGCATATCTACTAGGAAAAGAAGGGAACCAGGTGTGCCTGCTCCCCTCTTTCTAGATGCGTAGCCATTAATCTTCAGTCTATACCCCTTTCAAATGTATCCTGAACCCCTGGGACTCCTTTGAAAAAACATCTTTTCCTTTCTCCTCTGTCCTCTTCACAGATAGGTAATTGTGTCTCCATACTGTGGGACATTTTCCTCAGTTGCATCCTCCAAACTGAGAAAAGTTAATTTCCCAAACCTTAAACTGGTTGGCTTAGGACTGGGCTTAGGTGAAGGGAACCAGAAGCCCAACATGCTGGCCAAAGGGTCAAGTTCTTTACCAGTTGAGCTTTTGGCCTCCCTCCCCCTGTGCAAACTGGTAAAAGGGACTTTTGAACTGTCCTTACCCCTCCTCTTGTTTTGTTTTGTTTGTTTTCACCATGTTGGCCAGGATGGTCTCAATCTCTTGACCTCATGATCCACCTGCCGCAGCCTCCCAAAGTGCTGGGATTACAGGTGTGAGCCACTGTGCTTGGCTCATTTTGTTTTGATACATGTTTTCTAATAACGTGCTGTGTCTTTTCTCACCTTCAGCCATCAAACTTTGGATGTACATGCAGCTGGAGCCTTGGACAATGGCCCCTTCTCCCAGGGACCCTTAGATAGGCCTCTGAGGGGACTCTGAGTGCTGTTTTCCCAAAACTGCCCCTGACAGATGGAAGCAGTATCCTTATTCTAATGGCAGTTAGATGTGCTTCTTTAGAGGGAGGAATGAGGTAGCTGAGTATAAAGGGGTCATCAGAGAACCTCCAAGTGGCCTGCACAATGGGAGAAGTGTGCACTGGGGTGGAGCCCCGGGAAGTTCGCTGTGTTTATAGTGGGGAGCCTGGCCCCTTTCCTTCCTGGGTGGAACCTGGAATTCAATCTGTGAGGCAGGAAGCCGATGCTAGCATGACTCTCACACTGCTGAGGGTCCCTGGTTCCCCTTTATCCTTTTTGCTTAATAAATTCCACTTTTCTCATCCTTCGAAGTGTCTGTGAGCCTAATATTTCATGACCGTGTGATAAGGACCCCGTCTTTAGTCTGGAATGTTTTACGTTGGACATTTATGCCTTATCATCCATGCATACCTGATGAAGAATCACCACAACAAAAAAGATAGCTTTTTAAATTTTATTTCAAGATGAATAATTGGAATAATTTTAATGTTTTTATTTCCAACACTTGACACTAGTGCTGGCTTGTTATTGAAGAAATAGTGATTGAGCATTTAATATCACTTATTTGGAACATATATAGAAAATGGTTCCCAGTGGCCGGGCGCGGTGGCTCACGCCTGTATCAATCCCAACACTTTGGAAGGCCAAGTCAGGTGGATCACGAGGTCAGGAGTTCAAGACCAGCCTAGCCAACATGGTGAAACCCTGTCTCTACTAAAAATACAAAAATTAGCCGGGTGTGGTGGTGGACACCTGTAATCCCAGCTACTCAGGAGGCTGAGGCAGGAGAATGGCTTGAAACCAGAAGGCAGAGGTTGCAATGAGCCTAGATCCTGCCACTGCTGCACTCCAGCCTGGCAACAAGAGCAAAACTCCATCTAAAAAAGACGAAGAAAAAAAAAAGGAAATTGGTTCCTGGTCTAAAGAAAACCTTTGTAACCCCCTTTACAAAAACAAAGATTTTATTTGTTTATATCTACCTTATAAAAATTTCAAGCAGATCTGACATTCTTGAATAATTTCTAACTTTATTATTGGCCTGATTCTCTGTGAGAGAATAAAAATGAAAAAAAAAATTATATATTCTTGTATATATTCTTGTCTGAAAAAGTTGTCTCTACAATTTTTTTAACTTAGAAGTTTCAAGCTTCATGTCTTCATTGTATTTTTAAAGATTTTTTTTTGAACTTAAAATTTTTACTGAAATTGCCCCTTTTGAAGACACTAGTTAGGGATAAAATTTTTGTAATTTAATCATTCATTGTTAGGTTCACTACAGAGTCAACCATTCATTACTTTGTGCTGGCATATTTTGGGAAACATATTATTTAGATTTTAAATAATTTTGATGTATTTCTAAAGTAAGGATTTTGAAACATGAGATACATTTAATAAATTGCTATGGTGTTGAGATATTTTATAAACCAATTTAATAACTTAATAGTTTTAAAAGTTTTAAATAAAATTAAAAAAATGAGTATGACACAGAGTATCAAACATTGTCCAATGTTCGAATATAATGGAGCAAATAGGAAAATTATGAGAATTAGTTTTCCTTTTATATTTGTGTTGACAAAGCTAAATAATCTAAATAATATCCTGCCATCTATTTTTATCTTGATTAAAACTATGGGTGACTATAATTTAAATCAAATATATCAGAATTTCTACAAATATATTTTATTCTATGTCTTGTATTTCTTACAAGAATACATCTCCACTGACAATGCTGCATTCCCATATCTATAATGAAAGAGTAAAATCTTGATCTCATAAATGGTTACTTAGTGAATGCAACATTGCTGCATTATTATGATTATTTCATGGATTTGTTAGCCTATTTGTATTTTGTTATAATTTAGACCCTACAGTATTGACTGTACTCACCACAATGCATTAGGAATAAAACATAAACATTTATTCTCAAATAATGTAACAAAAAGAAATAAGCAAAGCACAATTTTCAAATTATCTTTCTTTAGGCTAGAAACTACAATTTCCTAAAATCCTTCTCTGGTCTCATGTAATGCATCATCAGCTTGTGGGGCAAAAATGTAATGTTATTTGTTCTTTCCAAATAATATTTTCTAACCAAATATTTTTACTTTTGTTTTTATTTTTCATTATCTCAGCTTTGGCAATAAAACAGCTCTATGAGGACCTGGGAAACAGGAAAACCAGACTTATGAGATCTGTGGAATCTGATACTGTTTGACTGCAGGGGATTTCAATGTGCAAATCCTAAGTGCCACAAAGAGGTGGCAGGGCCTTAAAGGGCAACATTTACATAATTTTTTAATTTAAAAAATGCCACTTTTGAGTCAGGCATGGTGGCTCATGCCTGTAATCCCAGCACTTTGAGAGGCTGAGGTGGGCGGAGCATGAGGTCAGGAGATCAAGACCATCCTGGCTAACATGGCGAAACCCCGTCTCTACTAAAAATACAAAAAATAGCTGGGGGTGGTGGCACATGCCTCGTTACACATCCGCCTCAGCCTCCCAAAGTGCTGGGATTACAGGGAGCCACCGCGCCTGGCCTGCCACATCATTTTCTAAAGTGGTTAGGTCATTTTACCTTCCAACTAGAAACGTGTTGAAATTCCAGTTATCTCATATGGTCATTAACATGTAGTTTTGCCAATCTTTACAGTCTTAGCCATTTTTGTAGATAGGGCATCAAGTGGTAAATTATGATGGCTTTAATTCTATATGTTAAAGTATATTATTCATAAATATAATATACTCGTATTCCTCACAAATAATGAGTTTCAACAGCTTTTCAAATATTTATTGTATATTTGTATATCTTCTCTGGTGAAGTGTCTAATAATTTGCTCATTGTTTTAAAGGTTATTGTCTTTATAGATGTACAGATGCATTGTATAACTTTCAGGTATAAACCTTGTGTCACATGTCTGTGCTATAAGGAATATATCCCAGTTAATGACTTCCCTTTTTATTTCCTTAGCAGTAACTTTGATGAGCATTTTATAATTTTGATGGTTAATTAAATTTAACTTTTTGAAACAGAAGTTTAATTTCTGTGGTTATGGTTATTGCTTTCTGAGCCTTGCCTAAAAGTCTTTGACTCTCCAGAATTGATGAAGATGTTCTCCTATATTTTCTTCAGAAATAACATATACTTCTTTCTTTTGAGACAGAGTCTCACTCTGTAGCCCAGGCTGGAGTGCAGTGGCACGATCTCAGCTCACTGCAACCTGTTTCCCGGGTCCAAGTAATTCTCCTGTCTCAGCCTCCCAAGTAGCTGGGAATACAGGCACGTGCCACCATGCCCAGCTAATTTTTCTATTTTCAGTAGAGACAGGGTTTTGCCATGTTGCCCAGGCTGGTCTTGAACTCCTGACCTTAAGTGATCCTCCCACCTTAGCCTCTCAAAGTTCGGGGATTACACGCGTAAGTCACCACGCCTGGCCTAATTTTAGTTTTTATGTTTACATCTACAATGATCTCAAGTTAGCTTTTGTCTATGGGATAAGGTAGAGGTCTATATTCACAGTTTCGGTGTATTTATTCAGTTGTTCCAGCACCATTTTCTGCAAAGACTTCTATCTTCTTGCCTTGGTTTTTGTTAAATTGATTGTTTATGGCTGGATCTATGTCTAGGCTCTCTATTCTGTTCCACTGATCTATATGTTCATTCTTGTGTCAATAACACATGCTCTGAATTACTGTACTTTTATTGTAAATCTTGTAGTAGTAAAACCCCTCCAGGTTTGTTTTTCTTTCTCTAGAATTATTTGTCTATGCTAGGTCCTTCACATTCTTATGTAAATATTATCATCAGCTGGTCATTTCATAAAAATAAATTTTGGAATTTTTATTGGTGTTGCAGAGAATATATACACCAATTTGAAGAACACTGGAATCCAAAGAGCATTGATCTTTTCTATTCACGAACATGGTATATACCAACCTTTATTTGCTTTAATTCTCTCAAAAATATTTTATAAATTTAAGTGAAGAGTTTTAGGATGTCTTCTGTTACATTTATAAGTGTTTTTACAAAAAAACAAAAGTTTAAGGAACCGTTTATATTTTTTCAAGAATAATTTATAGATGACGTTATATTTTTTCTACCCAAACATTATTTCTAGCTGTCTTTCTTTTTGTGATATTAGCAGCTGTTTGAATTCTTTTGTCAACTTGGCAGCAACCACTACACTTTTCTAAAACTAGGAACTCTATATTCTAGAACCCTCTTCCCTAAATGAATCCTCAAAAAATTTGCAAATGAAGAAAATTCACACACAGTTCCAAAGATAAGAGTGAAGCCGAAGTCACTGTCAGCAATTTTTGGCAGCCAGGCACTGAGACTTTCAGAACCTTTAACACGGTTCTTCTCAGCAATTCTAGCATCCAGATGTAGCCCCATGATAGACCTCGCACAAGCGTGTACTTCATAATCCTGCTGAATACAGAAGTTGCCTGGACTCTTTCATGAGCTGCTGCTTTCCCGCCTATATCAATGTTGTCAGCTGATGCCATTTGTGATTGCGTTTCTGACTTTCTGAAGGAAACCTGCCAAACCTTCATTATTTTTGCTTACATGCACATGAATGTAGGCACTAATTCTTACATTAAAATGTTTATTTCTATAATACTTAATTGGCTGTTTTCCTGGCTGAACCAAAGAAAGAGCAGCAGGGATGATAACTTGCAAAACTGATTAAATTAGAGGTCAAGAAATGGAGCCATTTTAATTCTATTGTTCTTCTTTCATATATTAAATATAAAACTTTTGTAGATAGTTTTTCTTCGTTATCTCTTTGGTTAACCTTAGGTACTGCCTGTAGAGCAAAGGTAGAATATGTGATTATTTTCCTTTATTTACCATTTTCTATTTATCAGTTACTATTTTATTTACCAGTTTTCTAAGTAGTAATCTGGTTTCCTAAAATCGCAGAAGGCACTTGAAGAAATTAAAATTGATTGACTTTTGAAAAATTAATTTGGGGAATTATTCTCCTACCTCTTCTCAGTCTAATGAAATTTTTTCTGTAAGATATTGTACTTTTAAGTACTTGAATTTTTATTTTTAAAGTGTTATCTCTGCTGAGATTTCACATGTGTTTACTCAATATGATTATTATTTCAGTCCTTAAGCATATTTATAATATAGTAGTATCCCCTTATTTGTGGCTTCACTTTCCTCACTTTCAGTCACCCATAGTCAAAAAATATTAAATATAAAACTCCAGAAATAAACAGTTTATAAGTTCTAAGTCATGCGTTGTTCTGAGGATTGTGATGCAATCTCCCGCCATTTTGCTGTATTGGGTTCAGGAT